AAAATGGGAACTGAGAGGATAACTAGGGCCTAACAGAAGTTTTGGCATTACAGAACCTTGCTTGGGGTGAGACACTGTTGCCACTTCCAGGATGGCTGGTACACACGGACTCAGCTCCTCCACGGTTGCCCAGGCAACACAATCTGCCCTCCTCGTGGCTGCAAAGGGGAGTAATGGGGGATGGAGCGGAGTGAAGATCCCATGGCCAAACTCTGCTGCACTCCCTGTGCTGGGCCACTGATAAGACGCACAGTAGCTGTCTAATGGGAGATACGCCATAAAAAGTCCGGTGCTGAGCCAYAGAAGTGGCAAATCACTCCTTTTCACCAATCAATAACAATATYAAGTATGACTCTAGTCACTCAAGCTCCACCTGAACATAAAGAAAAGTATAAAAGGTGAACTGAAGACTAAGAACTTAGAGGGAAGACTCATTGTAACTCTTGGGACAGTAGATGGGCTGATCCTCCTTCCCTCCCCTTGGGCTGAGACGCCACCTGAGAAGACTCGAGACTGAGAGCCCTCTCCCATCTTCCGGGGTGAGTGATGACTGCACATCAGAGATAGCTAAAAAACCCCACGCTGTAGTAGAGAATTTCCTRTACTGACATCTGAATCCTGCTTTGTGAATGTTGCATTTGAATAAATCATACTGTTTGTGAACTCGACTACTTGTTTGGGGGGAGGCGATCRGACCTACACTTGACAGACTGTTCATGAATCCAATACGGCCAGAATTGAGCTTAAAGTTGCTCAGGCTATTTGGGAATTCAATTGGCTCCTAGGAAGGCAATCGGACCTACGGTCCACGGACTGTTCATGAATCCAATACTGCCAGTATTTAGCTTATAGTTGATGACACTATTTGGGAACTCAATTCGCTCCTAGGAAGGCGATCAGACCTACATCCATAGACTGTTCGTGAATCTGATACTGATTTGGTATCTCCTTCCTCCCGCCTCCTCCACTACATCTTTCAAACTGCAACATGTCACAGCCCCTTTGTGGCCCAGCATGGCCCTGCCATTGCTTTGCTCCTGGTGTCATCTGCACTAGAAATCATGACACTGAAAATCTCCTTATGCCCAGGAATCAACTTATGCCCAGGAATCAACTTATGCCCAGGAATCAACTACAAACAGCCCTAGTGCTGCCTGTTGTCCTTCTCCAGAAGAGAGAGATCCTATTAGAAAGTCATAAACAAGAACAAGCCACATTTCACCTTTTGGCAGGATATTAAAGACAGAATATTAAACACACTCAAGGCTGACTTTTCTGCCTGCATACCTTTCCTAGCTCTCAAAGCAAGCAATGACCCCACCAGATAAAAAGTCTTCCTAGGAAGACTTTTCCCTTTGTTGTGTATTTATTTTGCTTCCGGCACAGTATTTCACCACTATTTGATAACTAGATGCACTGCATCGCTGAAGTTAGCTTTGTCTCTAAATTTATAATTATATTTATATTGAATTTATATTGATAATATAATTTATAATTATATATTATAAATATAAGGCACATACCATTGACAAGAATGAGGAGACAGAGTTCTGGCAAGTCGCATTCCCATGGTGCCCTGTAGAAACCCTTCTCATTGCTSTATCTGCTGTACCTCTAGAGATCATCTAGTCCAACCTCCCTGCTCCAGCAGGCACACCTACAGCATGTGGCACAGGGTGGCATCCGGGCAGATTTTAAAGATCTCCAGAGAAGGAGACTCCACAACCTCCCTGGGCAGCCTGTTCCACTGCTCTGTCACCCTAACAGTAAAGAAGTTGCTCCTCACCTGGAGACRGAACTTCTTGTGCTCCAGCTTGTGGCCATTACCCCTCGTCCTATCGCTGGCCACCAGTGAGAACAGCTTGGCCCCTTCCTCCCTGCATTCACCCTTCCTGAACTTATACATATTAATCATATCCCCTCTGAGCCTTCTCTTCTCCAAAGAAAACAGGCCCAGCTCACTCAGCCTCTCTTCATACGAGAGATGTTCCATTCCCTTAATCATCCTGGTTGCCCTTCTCTGGACCCTCTCGAGAAGCTCCACGTCCCTCTTATACTGGGGAGCCCAGAACTGCACASAGTAYTCCAGGTGYGGCCTCACCAGAGCYGAGTAGAGGGGCAGAATCACCTCCCTCGACCTGCTGGCAACACTCCTCCTGATGCAGGCCAGGATSCCATTGGCCTTCTTGGCCACGAGGGCACACTGCTSAYTCAYGGTTAACKTAGTGTCAACCAGGACTCCCAGGTCCCTCTCCGTGGAGGTGCTTTCCAGCAGGTCRACCCCTAATCTGTACTGATGCCTGGGGTTATTCSTCCCCAGGTGCAGGRCCCTGCACTTRTCCTTATTGAACCTCATGAGGTTCCTCTCTGCCCAACTCWCCAGCCTGTCCAGGTCCCTCTGGATGGCAGCACAGCCCTCCGGAGTGTCGGCCACTCCACCCAGCTTGGTGTCATCTGCAAACTTGCTCAGGRTGCATTCCGTGCCCTCATCCAGGTCATTGATGAACAGGTTGATCAGCACTGGGCCCAGCACTGACCCCTGGGGGACACCACTGGCCACAGGCCTCCAACTGGACTCGGCCCCATTTATCATCACCCTGATAAAGACTGTTTAAATCTGAACTTAGCTTATTAGATTTTGAAAATGGGAATGTAAGGAAGGAAAATAGGATTTTCATTCCTATCTTAATCTGATATTGACCAACAGTAGTTTGGTTGCTAGGAATTTTGCAATAAGAAAATCAAATTATCAGCTGTATCCTGGATTTCTTGAATCCTGGTAATGTATCTGTTACGTTATCAAAATGAGGTACTTTATGATAGGTAATTTAAATACAGTTAAAGATAATAGCTCCCTGTGCAGTAACACTATCAGTAGTATCACTGGAAAGAAGACCTGTTCTTACCTTTAGAGACAGAAAAACAGGCATTCTGAATCCGTCTGTACTGTTAGTCCATTTAGCGACTGAGGAGAGACAGGCTGTACCCAGGTTATTGGTCTCTGATCATTTAAGCCTTTTGATCTCTGGTCATTTAATCCTTTAGAGGCATTTAGCATAACACAGATGGAGATCTRCTCTTCAGTGCAGACAGACAAAGAAGATTGGACATAGCTTGATTCCAAAGGCAAAGGTCTCTAAAAATTAAAATCCAAAGACTTCCTAGTTTCGYTCTAGTGCAGAGCTGATGGAGATATTCTTCATCTGAATGTACATTTAGTTGTACTTCTGCAYYSCTGGACAATTTTAGAAATTTCACATGTACAGAAGGACCCCATTTCTGTGAATTAAATTAATAAAGCCTTTGTAGAAGAGGGCAACTGTACGTATGGTATGCGATACATTAAAAAAGAGGAAAAAGCAAGTAGTCAATCATATGTGCTCTGGGCCAGATGCAAACCTCTACCAGGTGCCTCTATTCCCATGTTCTCCAAGAAGTTTTCAGTGAGAGTTTGATACTGGCATCTGGCTCATCTTGCCCAACTGGTTGGCAACACTACACAGTTCAGTACTCACTTCACACAAAGGCCGCTTCTAACTTACATGTAAGCCTCTTTTCATCACTCTGCACAATGGGAGGTAAAATTCAGTACACATACATGCAACTGAAGTGCCCTTGTCATAGCAGAAACACTGAAAGGAGGAATACTTGCATTACTTTGTTGACAGACTAAGCACAGTATTGCCTGCAGTAGGTGAAACACACAATAAATATGCTCATTAGGAACGTGATTATGAGACTGTGTTTTTACTGCTCCTCCCAAGGGCAGTGCAAAGCAAATACAGATACATGCATCAAGATAGCATTTTCTCTATTGCCTTCATATCAAAGCATAGGTTGGTCATGACAACCAAGAATATAATCAGCAATAGGATAATTCTGCAAGATAAAGAGAGATCAGTGAATCCTGCTAAACCCTTACCTTAAGTGTATTATAAATTTCACGTTTTTTTCCCCCTTGGAYGATCACATCTGCACATTTCTTGTAAGAAGCTTCCTGTGCTGCGAGGAGGAGGCCCCCATGCAACACTGAAGCTGCCCCTTTTGAAGGGACACGGGGACTCCTGGACCCTGGAGATGYACGTGCTCCGGCCTCAGCCCAGSACCACACTCTATCAGCAGCACCTGTTACCGTTAGCAATGAGCTATGATGCTAGTAGAAAAATAAGCCATGTGCTTGCCTGGGTAAGGTTATGATAGTCACATTCAAAGCAGCTTTTCAAAGTGGCCCAGAATAGAGAGTTCTCTCCCAGKTCATCCCGGGAACAAATTSCTCCTATAACAGAACTCACTGCTGAAGAACAGCGAGTAAGGCAGTTTCTTCCTTGACAAAGAGAGCAGAGCTGATCTGTACTTGGACGAATTTGAGGCAATGATGTGAGGCCCAGCTGAGGTCACGTGTGCTAAAGTTTGGCTTCTAAGGCTGAGGGGTGAGGCGAACTCTGTCTGTCTCTTAGCAGAAGGAGGATTACATTTCTGTTCCACCTGCTCTTGTGTGTGAGCTTAGAGGTGCTCTGCTGCAGTGTGGAAATTGATGTGACAYGGAAAGCAGGAGCAGATGAAGGAATTGGAACCTGAAGCATAGTCACAAAGTCGCTCCCGGTTCTACAGTCAGGGTAGGAAGGGAGACCTAAAGCTGGATACTTAGCAGCTGAATGTCAGACCTTCATACTTGGAAGTTTCCATTACATACCAAAGGTGACACTGTCACAAAGGTGCCATACCCCATGGAGCCCGGGGCTGACGGCTCCCACACGTGGGGAGTGTGGGGAGCGTACGAGGAGGCGCGCGGCAGCTCTCACACAGRCACCTCACACCGGCGCTGCCACAAGCCACTGAGAGAAGCTTCATTTCTGCCRGCCRTAGGCTTCAAAATTATTAATGACAGATATTCATCCACAGGAGCACTCACACACATCTTCTCATATTCTAGGGGAGATGTTCAGTTAGCAAAGAAGTTATGAAAATAATTATAATAAAATGAAGCTCACAAGCTACAACCTTTATTCATATGCCAAAGATAACAAGACCACATAAGAGTAAGTGTATTGATCAGAAAATGTCCTCTAAATACAGAAATTCTAGCATTACACAGCAATGATATTTGTCAGTTAGATTTTGTATTTTTTCCTTAATTAAGTTTTTTAATTTTGAAGACATAAGGCAGACAATTCAGGCATATTATCAATGCCCAACAAACCTGAAAAGAGAAGCATATTCCTCCCACTTCTTTTAAAAGYGACTTGCTTCATTTTCTTACATTTATATGAGTTTCTTTAGCCAAGCAGAGTTTTAGGCAGGCATGTTGACTTGCTTGCACATCAGTACATCCGGAGAACTTTTCTCACAGTCTCCACATATTTATCATCAGGAACAGGTTTTCTCTGGCTTCCCGGCTCTAGAAATTTCTTGATTGCAGGGATGCTGCTTATATTGGCTTTAAATGCCTAAAAGAAATAAACATGTACTTAAAGCTCAGAAGGTAATTCAGGAAAAACAGAGACTCATTTGTGCAAGCAAAGGGTTTAACTGTAGAGGGCACCATTTAGCTGCAACACAGTCCAAAGAGTGTCTGTGTTTAAGGCTTGTGTCTAAGACTGTGATACTTCTCTACTTCTGCACCTTTGTGCTGTGAAATGACTTTCTCAGCTGCCATCACATCATGCCAAGCAGAAGGGGGCTGCTCTCAAAGCAAACAAGGGGGGTTCAGTGGAAGTGACCCCACCAAGGCAACGTGTGCCCTGCTCATGCAGGTTAGTGCTTACTCCGGAGCATGACCAGAGCAGTTATACCACAGAAGAACATTCGTCGAATGGCAGCACTGCCAGATGTGACTGAAGTGATAGCCGAGGAAGAAACAGGAAACAATAAGGTTAATTACACTGCTAGTAGTGAAGCGTGCATTTAAATGCCATAAGTACTTGCTGCAGGTTTTAAAAGTATTATGTTATTGAGTCTGATTATAATTTTAATAATTTTTGACATGGGGGAAGTTTACTACCTTTTTCCCCAACCTCATATTTTTAAACACTTAAAAGCTTAATTTAAAAAAAAAAAAAAAAAAAAAAGGTCTCCTGGCGTGGAGGCTTGAATGAAGAGGAAACAGTTGTTTCAGATGCATGTATTTTACACAAACCATGTCTCGTGATCTGCAAAACATTTTCTACTGAAAGGCATTACAGAACTAGTGACAGGATAGAATAGTCAGCAGGGTGGATTTCTTCAGATCTAAACAGGAATTACTCTGAAAAAGAATACATTCTCCACATGAAACCTATTAGGATGCTCTTCCTAAGGGCAACAAAACAGCAGGATGTCTTCCTAACAGGCAGCAGAACGAAAGAGGTGACAAAACATTAAAGACAGACTCTAAAGAGCACTTGTCACAGCCACATGGAGCAGGTGTTAGTGCAGCTACCTGCAGGCGAGGAAACGCTGAGAGAACATCCGACTTCTTCTCTTCTACCATTAAAATGGCTTCAAGAAGATGAACATCTGCCCAGCTAAGACGGTTGCCAACCAGAAAGTTCTGTCCATGACCTTTCAAAACCTGCAAGTGTTACAAATGAAAGTGTTTAGATGTGGAGAGGGAAGTCCTGACTGATGTTTCCCAAATGCTCAGTACTCCTTCCTTTGCAATCCCATGTCTCCTGTTCTGACCTTTTCGTCTTTCAACTGAGTAGGAATATTGTTAGTCTTGGAGATGTCAGTTCAGTTCCTTCTGTCATTGATCATTTTACAGAGTATTTATGAGAAATCCTCACATGAGTGATCTAGAACCSCAGGGTTTCTCTTACCCATCTTTCCTCCTTCCTATACCTAGAGGTAATCCTAAATTCTGGATTATGGGGTTAGTTAACTYCTTGGTTTTCTCTCCTTTCCAATCATCTTACTTAAATTTTCTGTACATACAACTTCAATAGGAAAATGAGTGAGGTGAACAGAGATGTGATGAATCCAAAGCTTTCCGGCGAGGCGCACGAGTGGAGCGCAGGGGAGAAGGGAGCTCCAGCCACCACSGTGAGGAAGAGCAGAGCATTTAAACCAATGAGCTCGGTGTCAGTGGGAAACGCTCCTCCCTTCAGCCTTTAAAGCAACGAGCAGCTATTTCAGCCAGCTCATCCTGCCTGCACTGAGGGCACCCCTCAGGTCTGGCCTGAGGATGTCTTAGAGAGACACCAAAACCCCAGTGCAGCTTATGCAGCGCACCCGGTTCCGACTCGAGCTCTTCAGCACCAACAGCTGCTCCTTCATCCACCCAGGGGGCTTAAAACCCTGGCAACTGCTGAGACTCACCGTGTTACTGCAGTTAAGAAGTCACTTAGATGCATCTGAGACTTCAAACTTCTTGCAGTTTTAAAATAGCTAATTGCCCTAACTTTGCAATGCCAAGTTATCCAGTTTTCTTAAAATTGCAATTTCCTGTTTTTCAGATTTCACACAGGCATATCCATGTGTTTATTGGACCACCAAACTTTTAAGCCTAAAGGAATATTTGGATCCTTCAGTCCAACTGCTTGGCCAATGGAGTCCCACTCAGGAATTTCGGCATTTTACCCACCATCTCTTCTCTCACAAGCTTTGACCTCTCACACATTTCTGCAGCCTTGTAACAGTAGGACACTTGGTAAAGTGCTGTACTGATTCTTTTCCGATTCCTTTGCTTTTGGGAAAAACATCCAGCATTCCCATTGTCATCTTCCCAGAGCAATGGAACAAAGTGCTGCTCCCACATACCTTTTCACAGACGGGGAAATATCTGCCTGTGGCCTTCTCAATTATATTGGCAAGTTCTTTCTCTTTATCCTCAGCTGACAAGAAGGGAAATTTCATAATAAAGGCCATAAGGTCATCTGTTCCTCCTACATACATATCAATCCTAAAACACAAACAAAACACAAAGAAAAACCCACAAACAAACCAAAAAAGAACATTATTCTTTCAGTTAAAAAGTAAATAACAAAATACAAATCACAATCTCACTCCTACTTGCAATATTGCTGCTGCTTCACCTGCCCCACTGCCCAGCATTAATTTTCTAATTCCCAGGACTGTACAGGCATTAGAAGTCTTTAACTTCAAAGAGCAAATACTGTAGATTCCTTCAGAATCACTGAAGGGAAACAGAGGGCACCAAGAGAAAATTTATCCTGAGCCCATTTAGCCATCCAGATCAATCTGGATCCCAGTCTTCAGGGTTTCATCCCAAGCACGAGTGTTTGAGGCACTAGAGGCTTTCTGTGTGTCACTCACACGGGGGAGGCACACTGAGGCACCCTGAAGGTCACAGATGGCAATTACTTCTAGGCATGTCTATGTTCATATACTAAATTAAGAAGAGGAACACGGTTACAGTACAGGGCTCTCTCCTTCAGGTCCTTCCCATAGAGGTTGTGCTTGGCTGCYATGTAGCTGAGGATGGCTCTGGTYTGCACCATCTTCATCCCGTCCATCTCCACCATGGGCACTTGCTGAAACAGCAGGGAGCCATCTGGAGAAACAACAACACCCCAAATGCTGTCCCGGACCCTGCACGTCCTGGTCAGGGCTCCTCTTGGTGCCAGGCACCACCAACTTTCAAGGCCAATTTACTGCAAGCAGCCCCAAATTACCATGGATTAATAATCCCAAAGAAGAAAAGGGAAACAACCCCAGACCGACCCCTCCAGCGGGACTAGGGGATCCCTCCCTCCCGACCTCGGATACTCCTGGGTTAGGGTCACTCCTTGCAAGGTTGAGAGCMCCCTGCACTCTCAGGGTGGGGAAACACTGTAGCATTTTCCTAGGACAAGCACTGCACTCCATTTAGTTGCACTAATTGCTAGTTAATTATTTACTAATTGGGATGCCATCCCTGGGACTGTCAGTGAACAAAGATCTTGTGCTGGCAAACAGAATCAGCTCACTAAAGCCCTGTGGTTGCTGCCCCCCTGAATTATTTTATTGTCTCCTTTAACAAGAGAGCACAAGAGATGGTGAGTCTAAAGCACATAACTACAGAGCATCTAATACTACATAAATGCATAAAAATGCACTTCTGTTCTACTACTTGAAACTCAACTAAATCAGTTGTCAGATTCCCAAATGTCTCCCTTACAATGAATATTAAATTAAGACATTCARTGAATTTGATAACCTTCTGCAAGTTGTTGAAAGCCAGGGGAAGCGTGTGGGACCGGGTGAGATGCACAGAAGGAAATAAAATTCACACRGTCCTGCCTAACACTGCTTTCCTCCTCAGTGAGGCTCTCCGGAACTTCAATGAAAGAATTTCAAGTGCAGCTTGGAAAATGCTCAGGGCCCATGACATTAAACCTGCCATTTTGTAGGCAAGTCACAAAAACATTTGCTATGGGCCATTTTCAGAGGTAATAGCATGATCTTAAGTCACCAAAAGCCAATTTTCATAAATAGGAAGGGCAGCAGTGGACAAAGGGAAAAACAACAACTGGAAGATACGGGAAACACGTTTAATCTTCAAATATGCCTGTCCACACTTTGAAAAAAGGATCAAATAAACAAATGAAAACAACCACCACCAGTCTCCTGCTCCCAGCTCTCAGTTTTACTTCCCTCTCTGCTCTAAAGCCCCAAGTACAGCATCAGCCGCATCCCACCTGAGGCTACAGTAAAGCCTGATCACACATTGGTTGAGGTTTCCTCTGGACTCACCTTGCAGGAGCTTCTCATACTGTTCCCGTGTTGTCAGGAACTGCTCTTCAAACTGGCAGAATAGGGGAAAGAAAAAGGAAATGAGCATCTTGTCACATTATAAAGGACAAACTGTCCAGCCTCAGAATATCCAGCAGGGCCCCTTCCCGTGCAGGTCTGTGCTCCACAGGAGGACACACCAGGGGCAGAAGCACTGCTAAAGCTTCCTGGTCTGCTGTACTTGGATCATGCAGCTACAGGCAACTCCAGCACAGCAAAAGAAAAGCCCCAAACCTGGCAGTAGAACTAGAGTAAGGGCAAACTAGAGTAAGGATGAGGTTTAACTGGGATTGGACAGACAGCTTAGTCCTGCAGTCCCACAGAGCTCAGCCAAAGCAGCAACACTGAATCATACTGGACACAGGTGCTGTTTAATTCCCATCTTAAATACTTTTTCACTGCTGGCTACCAAGTGACCTGCCTCAATGGTCACTTCTCTAGCCTCAAGCCTGCCAATTAAAGCCCAAAATGCTAAAACGAACCTCAACGCCAGCTGCACTCAGCAGCCAGCGAATGGACTCCATCTTGCCTCTGCCATCGAAGTAGTAGAGCTTAGGCTTTCCAGACATGTCTTCAGACTTCTGGTCACCTGAAATATCCATATGGACATAATAACTTAAGAGTAATTATAAAAATCTGACAGCAGCTGAAATAGTTCATAGAAGTTTAAGTTATTTTAGACAAAGCATTTAAGCTTTGGTTCGAACTGATCTGATTGTTACCCAGGTAAATTACAGCAAGGATGTTTTGTAAGTTTTTTCATTCTCCCCAAAAACTGAAAATATAGCAAGCTGTTATTTAGGTGACCACTGAGAAACTAAAATCACCACTAAAGAAATCGCTAAAAATCCTTCGAAGGAGAAAAAAAAAATACAAAAGTCAGTGCTGGAGTTTCTGCAACCACTACTAAAACCCACATTTCAATCAAAGTGGGGAAAAGAAGTTGGGCAAGTTTTTCCAAGTTCGACAGTCTTTATATCAAAGCCCTCCAGAAGCCTCTAAGGATTAATCATACACATAATTAGATGAAGCACGGACACGTGTTTTCAAAAGCTCTCACTTTTCTTGTGATCCAGGAGCACCCACTTACCTCGGATCACCAGAGCTGGAGCTTCAAAAGAGCAGCCAACTTCTTCTGCAAGAATCAAAACAGAAATATTCAGGTTGCTGTTCACGACACCTTTCTACTGGCTTCATTTCTTCCCATTACTAGTCTGCACCGCATAACTTCAGGGGTTTTTAAGCTGCTTAAGTCCTCRATGCTGCTTTGGGGGAGGGTTTTTAGTCCCTGAAGGATGTTATAAATGAGGCCACGGTGCTTCGGTGGCAGCAGGAGTGGGATCCTGCAGAGCCACAGGCGGAGGGAGGTTTYGGGGTTCAGGGGGACGGGTTGGGTCCCACACGGAGCTGCGGGCAGCAGCCCCTTCCTGCAGCCGCTCTTCCCTGCGGGGACATTCTTGGTGCCTCTGGTTAAGAATTTAAGCC